AAATTTATATTAAATTTTTAATACTCATAAAGAATTTAATATTTTTATATAGATAAAAAATATTTTTATTATGTTTAAAGATTTTGGTTAATATTTTTTAAAAAAAATTATATTTAACAATTAAAAGTTATTTAATATTCTTTGAAAATACAAAAACTTTAATTTTTAAAACTAATCCTTAATATAGTAATATAAAAACATTATCAAGTTTAGCTATAATCTTATATTAAAATTTTTTATATAGTGCAAATCATCTAAAGACATCCAAAATCATAACTCCTCAATGAATATTTAAAAATTTGCAAAAAAAAAAAAATAATATTGTAGTCTTATATAAGTTCTGCAAAGTTATATTGCAAAATTTTGACTTATTTCATTAGGAGATACTATTTAAAAAAATATAATATAATTTTAATGTGGCTTTATACACAAACTGTCCATTAATAGTTCTTGATAGTATTACAAAAAAAATATTACATATTCCATTAGGTTTCTAGAACAAATAAAATTTAGTTTTCTTTGATAATAACGATGCCATAACATGTTTGTCCCATCGTATTTGCACTAATTTTTTTCTTTTCTTTAACCAAGTAACAAAAAGCAAAATAAGTTAACAAATATTGCTTAAAATAAAATTATACTTTTAAAATTTCAGTTAGTAAAATTTGAATAAAAATTTCAAACTTGGTCAGGTAGTTGTCAAGGTATCTTTGATTAAAGTTTGAAATTGCACTTCTATTTGATAAATATCTAAAAACTTTAATCGAAGTTATCTCAATACCCATCTGGCCAAATTTGATGAAGTTTTTTTGTTGAATTGTAGAGATTGGATAGATTCTAAACAAAAAAAAAGTTTATCTAATTTGGCCAGGTGGGTATTGAGATATCTTCGATTAAAGTTTTTAGATATTTATTAAATAGTTCAAACTTTAATCAAAGATATCTTAACACCCACCTGACAAAGTTTGATGAACTTTTTTTATTTTTTTTATAGAGATTAGCAGAATTTAAATAAAAAAAAGCTCATCAAATTTGGTTAGATAAAGTGTTAAGATATCCTCGATTAAATTTGATTTGATAATGCATTTCTATTTAATAGATATCAATCGAGATACTAACCTAGCCAGATTCTATAAACTTTCTTTTTTTTTATTGTAAAATTAGCTGAATTTGAATAAAAAATGGCTAGATGGCTATTGAGATAACTTCAATACAATATTTATTTAATAAATGATCAATTTTTTTACAAAACTTTAATCAAAAATCTCAACACCTACCTAGCAAATTTAATGAACTTTTTTTTGCTTTAATATTAAGGATTATTAGAATTTGAAAAATAAAGTTCATCTAATTTGGTTAGGTAGTTGTCAAGTTTTCTCTATTAAACTTTGAAAATAATTTTCAATGTATTTCTATTTGATAGACACGGGGAACTTTTACAACTACTTGGTCAACCAAAATAATATATTGTATACTCGAATTAGAATTTAATAAGAAATTTTGGAATTTTGATTTTCAGGTGAAAATTTTTTACAAAAATAATGAAATTTAAGAGATTTTTACTAATTTTTTTTTTTTGGAATTGTATTATTTCATTGACAATTACTTCATAGACACCACATTTCACTGACAAGTGCATTTTCTTCGAAGCTTATTTTATCGACAAGATTTTTTTATAAATTACACTACCTTTAACTCTAACTCTAGCTTATCCCTAATTACATTAACCAGAATTACTTTGTCTGTAAAATGAGCTTTGGTGAAATAAATTCAGTGAAATGTGGTGTCTACAAAGTGATTGTTGGTAAAATAATTGTCAGTGAAATGTGGTGTCTACAAAGTAATTGTTGGTGAAATAAATGTTAGTAAAATATGGTGATTGTTGGTGAAATAATACGGATTCAGATCATAGATCATACATACCTGAGTGTAAATAAATGACAATTAAACTATATATGTCAAATCTTCAGATGAATTGGAAGAGATGGATAATAATGGAAGTATATCATCTAAGAAATGTTGGAGTAGTTTTAATGAAAGTATTAAAATTGTAGAATTTGGTGGTGATTGTCTAAAGTCATTATCTGGAAGTAAAAATTAGTTCTCAAAAGGGTTTCAGAGGTCCTGAGTATTTTTGCTTAAAATGCCCACCCTGTTTACTTAGTATGTTTTTGAGATATAGCACTTCCAAACACTCTCAGAGAAAATTACCCTCTGTTAAGATTAGCAATATTCTTGATTATATAGAGATATGACTATATTAAGTTTTAATACAGTTATTCTTCTATATAGTTACCTCCTATATAATCACACCCTTTTTATAAGCACTATTTTTTGAAAAATTATTAGCAATATATTTATTAAAAAACTCTACATAATCATACTACTATTAGAATTTTATAATCTTTTTTACACAAACAAACAGTATTATTATAGAGAAGAATGACTATATAATTTATTATTTCTTATTTATTGTACAAAAAGTTTATACAAAGTAGTTAAATAATAAATCTTGTTATAAAATTTCTAACCTTTTTATTAATTTTATTTGCAGTCATATTTTATATTCAACTACAATATTGAGTATATAGACTATGTATCTGTAACAATATTATAAATGTATAAGTAAAAATTATATATATAAACAAAGAAAAAATAAAAAGATTAAAAAATATATCATTTGAACCTATAATGCTTAAGCTCAAATTTATTTTATTTTCTAAATACAAAGTTCAAATATCTGCTTTAAGTACAGCTTTTTTTACAATTAAAATCACTATATTTATATATAGTATAAGATTTGTTTAACTATAGCTAATGCCAACTTTTTAGTTTCAATTAAAGTAAATAACAATAATTTATAAAAATGTACTTTTTTTTATTGTCCTTCAAGGTTGAACCAACTAAATATGAATTTGTTGTCAACTGTCTTCGAACAGTCTTCAGAGTTGTTACAGTATCAGACCTAAAAATAGCGAGTTTGTTACTAGATCATTAGTAGGTTCATGTAACCAAAGATTAGGTTTCATAGAGTCGATAAAAGCATGTTAGATTTGGTCGAGTGGTATAGTTTCAGGACAGAGCTTAGGTCTTTTATAGTCTTAGTATTGGTGTATAGTGTTTTGGCCTAAACCGAAACTTTCGGCTAGCTGAAACCTCCGAAATATAGTTTATCAGAAGTCTCAAATCCAAACTTCTGAAACCTCTGAAACTGGACGAAATCTTCAAAACAGGTGAAACTTCAAATACTTCCAAAACAAATAGCCAATAAAATACAAAAACTGCCAAAATTGGGTGAAACTTGGTGAAATCTCTGAAATTGGATGAACTTTCTAAAATATTCTGAGTAGAATATCAAAGAATGTAAAATACAAGCAAGGTGGAGATAAAAATAGAGAAAAGTTCTGAAACTTTCTGAAAGACAAAAATTTTGGAAGGATGTTTAGAGAGTTTTTGAGGTTTTGACCATTTTGGAGATTTCGCCCATTTTAGAAGTTTTGGCCATTCCAGAGGTTTTGGTTTTTGGGCAAACCCACCAAAACACTGTTGGCATAACAAGAGTGTTTATCAAACATTAAGTTTGATATAATATAATGTATAATTTATTAAATGTAATTAAGATATTTACAAATAGTGATTAGATGATTTATCATAAGTGAATTGTAAGATATATGAGAGTAATTATGTGATTAAGTGATTTAATAAAAAGCAAAGGTGGGAGTTTCTTCTTCCCAGGGCCAAAAGGGCCTTTATTTATAATTATTATTTCGTTTATTTATATTTGCAGGATTGTATCAAACCTAACTATCATTTCTATCGGTGATATCATTGATATCTATCATACTGGTGGAATTATTCTGATTGCACAATCTACCAGATTGGAATTATTAAAAAAATTGAGCTGATCGGAAATATTGGTGAAATCGGGCTGGGAAATCTAAATTTGGAAATATCCAAAGTCACGGGGCACGTGCCTGCTTTACAACAGCATAATGAAGCCAAGCTATAGTTTAAGCTATAATCAGCTTTTAACTATGCCTCAGTATAGTTGAAACAGAATCGACATTTAAAGTCATAGTTTCAGGTTATGGTATGTTACAGTTAGAGCATGACTCGTGGTGGCTCAAGCTGTGGTAGATAATATTGTTGGGTTTGAAAATGGCGAGTCTGTCGCTAGAAGACCAGAATTCTCACGTTATTCGACTTTTAGGCTTGAACAGAGGCGTGGATACGATTTGGCGAGTATCCAAAGTTTATATGTGTTATGTGTCGTCTATTGGGGTTTTCCCTAAACGAATTCACTAACACTTGATCTTTGCCCTTACTTAAAATTTCAGGCGCATGAAAGATATGTACTTTATTAAATTTTCTTTTCTTTTTTATACATTTCGTTTTTCTATACTAATTTCATTTCTTCCCTTTTTCTTCTAAATCCCTTTTCTGCCATCTCCATTGACTCCACTATACTATTTGGCCGTTTCACTGGATTTGGGTAAATTACTTCTACGTTTTCTATTTTTAACTATTCTACTTTTATTAACCCGCCTTTTCTTTCTTTAACACAAACCTACCCAGATCCGCCATTTTGAAACTTCATTATCATCTCTCGATTCAGTGGTGCGCCTCGTCTATGAATTGTGCGATTGTATGGGGCCCAAATATGCAGGTTTCACCCAATTTTAGGTTAAACGTAAATGCCAAAGCCCGGGGCATCGTTGTTGTGCCATAATCACAGATCGTTCACCGATCTGGGACCCGATCGTCATTTGAGTCAAGTTTTAGGTAGTCACGATTTATTCTGCCTGTGATATTCCTCACGACTTATCATATGCATACCACGCATAATATTAGAACCGGCAGTTATCTTATTAAAGATTAGCTAAATGATGGTGGCCTTCTGGGTATAAAGAAAAAATTGAGTGCGGTCTCTCAGCTTCTTTTTGCTTTTTCCCTAGACTTTCATTACGATGCCTTTTTCCTTTATTAATATATTTGCCCACTCAATGGCTACATTTTCCTCCACTTAGTTTGTTCGTTCCACAAACTTTAAATCCTCCAGGATCAAATATCTTCGAGGCCAATCGAAACAGAGATAAGTACTGGGATATTCCTTTGTTCATAGTTTCTTGTACTATCTCTAATACCATTACTCTTTCCTTCGTTTTAGGTTCATGTTCCAATACTGGAATCGTTCCTTCAGGGGTCAATTTCGACATCTTTATGACGACTTTCTCTTGGTTTGCCAGGACACCGGAACCTGGGCTGGATTGGGGCCGGATTTTTCTTTTTCAGCCGGGTACGAA